GAGGGAGCTGGAAGGGACCCCGGGGTGACTGGGTCCCCGAGGGAGCTGGGAGGGACCCCCGGGGTAACTGGGTCCCCTGGGAGCTGGGAGGGACCCCGGGGTAACTGGGGTCCCCTGGGAGCTGGGAGGGACCCCGGGGTGACTGGGGTCCCCAAGAGAGCTGGAAGGGACCCCGAGGGAGCTAGAAGGGACCCCGGGGTGACTGGGGTCTCCTGGGAGCTGCAAGGGACCCCGGGGTGACTGGGGTCCCCGAGGGAGCTGGAAGGGACCCCGAGGGAGCTGGGAGGGACCCCGGGGTGACTGGGTCCCCGAGGGAGCTGGAGGGGACCCCCGGGGTGACTGGGGTCCCCGGGGGAGCTGGGAGGGACCCCGGGGTAACTGGGTCCCCTGGGAGCTGGGAGGGACCCCGGGGTAACTGGGGTCCCCGGGGAGCTGGGAGGGACCCCCGGGGTAACTGGGTCCCCTGGGAGCTGGGAGGGACCCCGGGGTAACTGGGGTCCCCTGGGAGCTGGGAGGGACCCCGGGGTAACTGGGGTCCCCTGGGAGCTGGGAGGGACCCCGGGATTACGGGGGTCCCCTGGGAGCTGGGAGGGACCCCGGGGTGACTGGGGTCCCCTGGGAGCTGGGAGGGACACCGGGATTACGGGGGTCCCCGAGGGAGCTGGAAGGGACCCCGGGGTAACTGGGTCCCCTGGGAGCTGGGAGGGACCCCGGGGTGACTGGGTCCCCTGGGAGCTGGGAGGGACCCCGGGGTAACTGGGGTTCCCTGGGAGCTGGAAGGGACCCCGGGGTAACTGGGTCCCCTGGGAGCTGGAAGGCTCTGGACTAGGCTCTGCGGTGAGCCGGGTGGACGAGGAACACCTGACCTCCTTATTGCTCACAGATGCGGAAGGGAGAGACCTGCGTATTGTGATTAGTCTGCTACTTGAAAGCGCTCTGGGGGTGAGGTATTCAAGAGATTATACCAAACCGGAGTGGTCAGCAGTGGTCCGGTGGGACGCTTTATGATGCTGGTGGTTCGATGTGTGAATAGCAACTGCTCATAATTACCGCCTTAAAGAAATAAGTTTTGTGCATTGTTTATTTTCATGTTATTGGCAAGGCAGAGAGAGAGAGAGGTGAGATCTTCCATCTGCTGGTTTACTTCCCGAATGCTGTAACAGTGAGAGCTGGGCCAGGATGAAGCCAGGCACCCAGAAATCGCTCTGGGTCTCCCTCGTGCGTGGCAGGGCTCTCAGTTCTTGGGCCGTCATCTGTCTTAGCAAGAAGGTGTGTGGAGCTCTGGATTCAACCAGACTCTCCGATATGGGATATGCGTGGTCCAGCTGTGCTCTTAATTGCTGTGGGAAACACAGGCCCTGTAATTATGCTTTGAATAGTATGTTGAGTTAGGAATCTCACCTTATGGAAGCTTATTCTGATCCCTCTTTGAACAGTTTTTTTTTTAAAGATTTATTTTATTTATTTGAAAGAGTTACAGAGAGAGGGAGAGACAGAGAGAAAGGTCCTCCATCCACTGGTTCACTCCCCAGATGGCCGCAACGGCTGAAGCTGCACCGATCCGAAGCCAGGAGCCAGGTGCTTCCTCCAGGCCTCCCACATGGGTGCAGGGGCCCAAGGACTTGGGCCATCTTCCATTGCTTTCCCAGGCCATAGCAGAGAGCTGGATCAGAAGTGGAGCAGCCGGGACTAGAACCGGCACCCATATGGGATGGTGGCACTTCAGGCCAGGGCTTTAACCCACTGCACCACAGTGCGGGCCCCTCTTTGAGCAGTTTTAACCTGTCCTCCTGCTTTAACCACGTTACCTGCTTGAAGTTTTTTCTTTTTTCCATTGTACTTGTGTTGTAGCATAGAGTATTATTTACTTCTTTACCATAGCCATTATCTGTGTATCCCACACTGTACTTCAGTTCCATGAACGAAGCTGTTTTCCTCCTGCTTACTAATGCATTTCAAAGGCCAAGAACAATCCTGGTTTCTAGTAGACATTCAGTAAATATTTATAGAATGAATATGTTATTTTTCAGAATATAAAGCAGACGCACAAGCAGACTTTCATAATTAGCATGACTTGTGTGGAACGTAGTTCTGTTGAACGTCCTGGTAGGAAGGGCAATCAACAAATCAACATTTCAGTGAATCATCCCTATTTTACCCCAAATGACAGCTTTCCACATTGCCTGGGTTAGCATTCATTATCCATTAAACATTTTTACACTTCCTTAAATATCTTAGGCCTCTTCATAATCCTTGAGGACAAGGTGGTTTGCCTCTGTATCCTCCACAGCACACTCTATGGTGAGGTGCGCCAATGGGGCAGTGAGTATTTACTGAAGGAACAAAGGAATAAGTTGGATTAAGGCATTATGTCCTTGGGAATCCAGTTATCTGCCACAGGAATGTTTGTTTAATGGCATTAGGGCTCCTGACTCTAGTATTATGCAAAGAAGAGTCTGGCCTTCTAAAGGATTTACCTGTTTTCTGTGCTAATTTTGGGGTTTCCATCTCAATGAGTGTATGAAAAGTTAAACATTCTGAGTTATCTAGGTAAATGAAAGCTGGCAGAAGGGGTGCCTGTCTTAGTGTTTATTTTTGTGTGTGTTTTGGACATGTAAGGATTAGGTAATGCAGTACTTTGTCATAATTAAGAAAAGAACAGAGGCAGACTAAAAGACTAAGTGATTTATTCACTGCAAATGAAGCCACTCCACTAGTGTGAGATTTCACATTAGTTCAAAATAAGAAAAGTTGGCCGGCGCCGCGGCTCACTAGGCTAATCCTCCGCCTAGCGGCGCCGGCACACCGGGTTCTAGTCCCGGTTGGGGCACCGGATTCTGTCCCGGTTGCCCCTCTTCCAGGCCAGCCCTCTGCTGTGGCCAGGGAGTGCAGTGGAGGATGGCCCAGGTGCTTGGGCCCTGCACCCCAAGGGAGACCAGGAAAAGCACCTGGCTCCTGGCTCCTGCCATCGGATCAGCGCGGTGCGCCGGCCGCAGCGCGCCAGCCGCGGCGGCCATTGGAGGGTGAATCAACGGCAAAAGGAAGACCTTTCTGTCTCTCTCTCTCTCTCACTGTCCACTCTGCCTGTCAAAAAAAAAATAATAAAAAAAAAAAATAAGAAAAGTTATCAGAGAAATGAGCTGTGTGGTATGGTAAAATAGAACTAACATTCCTCTTTGAAGAGGTGACTTAGTTTTGCCAAGGTGTAATTATTGTTTTATAAAAAAAGATTAATTAATTAGTTAACTAATTCATTTGAGGAGAGTAACAGAGGAGAGATATTCCATCCACTGCTTCACTCTGCAGATGGGTTCATTGGCCGGGGCAGATCTAGGCAGAAACCGGAAGCCAGGAGCACTTCCCATGGCTCCCGTGTGGGTGCAGGGGCCCAAGCACTTGGGCCATCTTCTGGCTGTTTTTCCAGGCGCACTAGCAGGGGTGTGGATCGGAAGCTGAGTAGCCGGATCTCACTGGGGCTGGTGTTCCAATTTGGGATGCTGGCTCTGCAGGCGACAGCTTAGCTCACTGTGCCACCACACTGGCCCCTCATTGGTTTTCTTAAGCATTTTAAATGTAATTTTTGTTAGCTTTATCATTTTGTTTGAATTTATTTGATAATTTTTGGGGAGTATTTTTTAGCTATAAGAACTATGAAGGAAGGGGCTGGCACTGTGGCACAGCGGGTTAATGCTCTGGCCTGAAGCACCGGCATCCCATATGGGCACTGGTTCTAGTCCCGGCTGCTCCACTTCTGATCCAGCTCTCTGCTGTGGCCTGGGATAGCAGTAGAAGAAGGCCCAAGTCCTTGGGCCCCTGCACCTGTGTGAGAGACCTGGAGGAAGCTCCTGGCTCCTGGCTTCGGACAGGTGCAGCTCCAGCCATTGCAGCCATTTTGGAAGTGAACCAGCTGATGGAAGACCTCTCTCTCTGTATCTCTACCCCTCTCTGTAACTCTTTCAAATAAATAAAATAAATCTTTTTTTAAAAAAGAACTATGAATAAAGGTTTGAGTCTATTTTATGTATTTAAGTATTTAAGTAATATTGTAATAAAAATAGTTTAAGTTGAGGGCGTGGGACCTTGGGAATGTGTTTTTACTTTTAGTGGCCTTTTGGTAGGGTGTACAGGGTTCAGGGCCCATGACACATTGTTTCAGTAGAGTCCCGGGCTGGGCCCATGACACATTGTTTCAGTAGAGTCCCCGGCCGGTTCAGTGTGGGTCAGGTGTTTCTGGAGCTGCTGCTACTAGAGATGAATAGAAGGGTAGGATCTTGGGAAAATGCAGAGCGGCTGGTGGGAGAAAATGGAGGAATTTTAGACAGTTAGTCTCCTTCAGTTTAGCTTTTGGCTGTGACTTTCTGGGTTCTCTTTCTTAATGACTCTTCTCAAATGGCCATGTGAAATGCAGTGTTTTTATTTTTAGACAAAAACAACAGCAAAACCTCCCATCATCATTTTTGCAGGTAATGCACACCCTGTGCTTGGTGTGGAACACTGAGAGGTTTAGGGAACTGTTTAAAGTGACTGTGCTAGGTCAGAGGAAAAAGATGTTTGTTCTCTGATATGTTCTCTGATACCGTCATCTCTTCTCAGCTCCCTAGGAGCCCCCTCTCGGGCCCTGCAATGGGAAATGCAAGTGGGAAAAAAAAATCAGATGACGGTTTGTTTTTTATTTAACAGGTGATATTTCAGAATTCAAGTTTTCTCCCATGTCCAAAGCCATATTGTCTGGAGTTGAACCAACAAATATTTATAGAGCACCTGATGTGTGCTAGGCATGACATGAGGAGCTGAAGACGGTGAATGATACAGAGTTTCTGCTTTTGGGACTTAGCTAAAACAAACTGGTTTTATCCTACTGTGTGTTTTCATTTGCTATATTCTAGTTGAATGTGAGTGGGCAATTTGAAAAGTGCAGTACATTCTTTATGCAGGTTGGTCTCATAGATGACAGAGTTAGCTATCAGATTAATTTGTTCTTTATCGCTCTCCATTTCTAGGGGTGTCATGAAAATTGACATAAATCTTCAGAAAGTGGACATCGACCAGTGTTCAAGTGATGGCTGGTTTTCCGGAACTCACAAATGCCACCTTAACAATTCTGAGGTAAGAACATGCAAGTAAGAACCTTTGAAATCGGGAGCTCAGCAGATTCTCTTCAGTTTGTCGCATTTGTGTGGGTAAATGAACAAAAGGTATCTTACTGGGGGAAAACATCTATGCAGGTCTCAGAGCTGCCAAAGAACTGACAGAGGAGCAGAAAATAAAATCCAGGCAACTGCTCATGTGGGAACTAAGAGAAGACCGAAACTAAAATTATGTCTGAAGTCTGCTGTTAGTTATAGGCTGACCCTATTCTTTAAAATGCGCTGGAAATTTAAAATAACCATGAAGTGAGAAAGCTGTCCCAGGAGGGTCAGCCACATTATGCATGTTCTCAGGAGTATGGAGCTTGTTGAAACAATGGTGCAGCAGGAAGAACTTGAAGACTGCAAGACTGGGGCCTGGGAAGGGTTCGCGCGTGTCTGTTTTCCCAGTGTTCAGTTCCTCTCCATGCTGGACTCAAGGTCTCTGGTTGGTAAGGAGCCACTGGAGAGATCATGGTTCCGGAAATCAGGCTGCCACTTGTCCTCTGTGTTTTCAGAGAAGAGGGACGTCCTCCTAATGGTTGAGTTTTCAGTATTCCACCTCTGAGGTCCCACTGGATGAGTTCCGTTGTGCGTTAGGTGTCCAGTTAAGTTCCTGGTCTTAGATACTTAGTTTCTGTGAAAATAAAAGCGATGTCACGGTAACAACCATATGGAGAGGGCCTGCCAACACGGAGCTGGGAGGTCTTTAAGGGGATACGGCTAGGCACGTCTCGAGCTGCCACCTGGAACGTGAACTTTTGGTCACTTGCACCCTTGACTGCGGTCACCTGGAATGACGGAATGGCTGTGTCCAGGGACTCCAGATGCATGGCAGAAGGTTGTTGGACCCTTGTTTGATGGACATTTTAACTTCATCCACATCTGTTTGTTTCTTATCTCTGAGCGATCACGTAGCCCCGGTTACACACCCCTGCTCCTTCTCTAGTTCAGAAATTTCCTGTAAGGGAGTTTTTCTGGCTCGCAGGAGGTCAGCCGGCACTTCTAGCCTGCGTACGCTCCCACTCCCTGTATCTTTCACAGCACTCATTCAGGTGTCTCTTGAACTACAGTTCCTACAGACCTCAAATAAAGTTCTCATAGCTTTGGAGTATCTGAGCTTGAGCTGACCCTCTGCCAACCCAATGCTGATTCCATGAATTTCTCAGGAAATTCAGCTGGATTTATTTAACAGAGGGAATGTTCCCACAAACATAGCAGTCTACATCTTTCATTTGAATTATTGCTGTTTGTGAAAGGCGGTTATACATAGAGCACATAGTGTGAGTTTAAGGTGAGAGACTTAAAATCACAAGGAAATTTAACAAAAGACACTTATCTGTGCCATTAAACAAAAATGTACACAGATGTACACAGGCACGTGTATACCTGTGTGTGCAAACTGCCACACATACCCTGCCATACACAGTCCATGTGTCCCCACACTCCCATAACCCAAAATGACCTTCCACTGTTCCCCACACCCACCCACACCTCTACCTCCCCCTACACCCAGTATCCACCAGAGCATACCTCAGCCGTCCTGCCCTTTAAATCTGTTACACCTCTTCACCATATCCCGTGACCCCCTCTCCCCAGTTCCCTAGTACCCCAGATGCATTCCCACGCACCCTACACCTTTGTATACCTCTACACAGGCAGCCTCCGCAGCTGCCTGTCACTCTCCTCCCACTCAATTGAGACCTGGTGACATATGTGTTTCTGTCTTGTTAACCCACAAAAGGTAAGATCTTGTTTTTTTCTTCCTTTTCCTGTTTGTTCTTTTGGTTCTGAACAGTTCTGAGCCCACACTTCCCCTCGGATGGTTCTGGTATTTCTAAAGATGTGAAACTCACTCACTGACTTGGTGGATGTCTTCAGTGCGATTATTATCTGCTTGCCAAGGGCATGTGGCCAACTAGCGCGTTGGGTCTTAGCGGGAGTTGACCGACTTGGGCGTGGGTGTCTAGTTGTGGGTATTGATCTGTGTGTGCTCATTTCTGCAGAGCCTTGTTTGGATGGCACTCCTGGGGGGCTCAGTAACCCGCCTGTGTGGGAGCTTCCCTGTGTGTTCCCATTGCTGCTTGGCTCATGATCTCAGAGAGGTTGTGGGTCCTGGTGTCACCTCTGTCTGTCTGTCTGTCTGTCTAAATGGTTATATTGCAAGAATCCCTTTCTCCTGAAAGATTGATTTCTCTGTGTTGCATTAGGATTATTAGTTTTCTATCTTTTTAAAGTTTCAAGGAAAATATTATCCTCTAGTCTGATTAACAAGGACAGGTTGAAATGTGTAACTTTGGGGATTATATAAGGAGCATTATATTGATTGAATTCCTATTGGAAAAACATCCTATGAGACACTGGACAGACAGTACTGTGGATTTCATTAGAAAATGCAGAAACAGGTTCAGTCTCCAAAGCGCCAGTTTTGACCTGGAATCTGGACCTGTCCCACCTCCTTTCCTTGCTCAGGTGCTGGAGCTGGGGGTCGGGGATTTTGGTGTCCTGGACTTGGCTCTCAAGGCCCTTGGTGGGGTCGTCTGCCCCCAGGGCTGTCACAGAGCTCTTCACAGTCGTGTTTCTGAGCTCCCCCAAGGTCCTGCAGTTGACGCTGGTCACACAGGCACCTGCAGCACTGTCAAACCACATCGCTAGACTGGCGACTGAGAAGAGTTTTTTAGTTTCTTCCCTGTGTTGATGTGAGCTGGAGATTTTTGCTGCTAGGGGAAAAATCAGAAAAATTTCTTGTTTGCAGCATTTCTTATCTGCTCTGGCTTTCCTTTGCTCTTTGTTAAAAATCATCCGTCCCCAGCTATGAAGACCACTTTGTCAGTTGGTTTAGTCAAGGACGTATTTAAGGTACCTCTGAAGCACGTGGGGCCCTGTGTTTAGGGATGTACATACAATTGAACATTGAGATACTCATCATGGTTTACAGTGGGTTTTATCTCCCCAATGTTTAACATTCTTGTACTGCAGATAATGGAGGAAGTTGCAGATTTCAAAGATATAAGTGAAACAGACTTCTCACTTTTAGGACTTTTCTAGGTTGTTGGATCTTCAGCCTGCAGGGCTATGCTAAACAGGATAGTAGATCTGATGGGGGGAATCATTAAGTGGTATGGGGCCAGTGATTAAAGTCTCAAGAGCGTTCTAGAAAGGCACGGCGTGTTTGTTGAAGAAAAGAACTTCTCATAGAGTTTGGATCTTCACGATAAGCACCTACTAAGTGTTTTTTGAGGAACAGGATAACTTTTGGATCAATGCCATGAGCGCGATTGCTTTGGCTGTCCTTATCACTGATCCACAGCTCTGAGAAACAGGCTTGATCCTGTTTTCAGTCTCCGTTTAAATCATTCTTGGCCTGTTTTCATATAAATGTTCATTGTGTGTATATAAAATTCTCTCCTACAGCGTAATTTATTAAAAACACAAAATGAATGCATAGTTTTTCTCTAAGGGTTATCTTTGACTTTGTTTCTACTCTAAAACTTTATTTTTTTTTAAAGATTTATTTTTTTTTTTATTTGAAAGAGTTACAGAGAGAGGTAGAGACAGAGAGAGAGAGGTCTTCCCTCCATTGGTTCACTCCCCAGATGGCCGCAACCGCTGGAGCTGCACCTATCCGAAGCCAGGAGCCAGGAACTTCTTCCAGGTCTCCAACGCAGGTGCAGGGACCCAAGGACTCGGGCCATCTTCCACTGCTATCCCAGGCCATAGCAGAGAGCTGGATTGGAAGAGGAGCAGCCGGGACTAGAACCAGCGCCCATACAGGATGCGGTGCTTCAGGCCAGGGCTTTAACCCACTGTGCAACAGTGCCGGCCCCTCTACTGTAAAAACTTTGAAAACCATTATTTAAAGTAGAAAACATGAGGGCAGCAACTTTAAACTTTTTGGTTATATCCCTTTAGTAAAAATGCTTTAAGTGTCAACCCATAGTGAGTAAATACGTATTTAAATTTACAGAGTCTATGCATCTTGTGTCATACTAGGATATGTTCTGTATATTATAAATTGGAAAACCAATAAGATTGAGATAAAGATGAAAAACATTTTAATATTAGTTATTTTGTAAAAAACAATTATATCTTTATTGAGAACCATGTAACTGATTCATACTTTGCAAGATTTTTTAGCAAGAATATAAGAGTCTATTATGAGTAATCATTTCAGAAAGTCTTAGTCTAATACTCAGTAGTGCAGTGAGTCAGAGGTCTCTAAGTTCAGTTTATTTTTATACTTCGTGTCTGTCATTGTTGGAAAAGAAAGATACAGCAGTCCAAATTGAAGAAATAGGTTGTTGACTGTGTTTGATAAATTTTGATATTTGTTTTTCAGGTATATCTACCAGTTTTGCAAGGATTTTTACAGATATACAGCTGGTAGTTTTTCATCTTACCTGATCTTAATTGGTCCTTGCAAACTAATGGGAAAATCACCATTGTGATATTTTAAAGTAGTAGATTAGAAGCTCACTAAATCTCCTTGTGGACTATTTTAAAAACAGATTAGAGGGGCCGGCGCCGTGGCTCACTTGGTTAATCCTCCGCGTGCGGCGCTGACATCCCGTATGGGTGCCGGGTTCTAGTCTCGGTTGCTCCTCTTTCAGTCCAGCTCTCTGCTGTGGCCCAGGAGGGCAGTGGAGGATGGCCCAAGTGCTTGAGCCCCTGCATCTGCATGGGAGACCAGGAGGAAGCACCTGGCTCCTGGCTTCGGATCGGCAGTAGCTCCGGCCGTAGCGGCCATTTGGCGGGTGAACCAATGGCAAAAGGAAGACCTTTCTCTCTGTCTCTCTCTCACTGTCTAATTCTATATGTCAAATAAAAAAAAAATCTTAAAAAAACAGATTAGAAAAAATCATTTAGAAATGTAAACTGTAGATCTATGTGAATATTTGTAGTTTTGGCAACAAAAACCATGTAATACTGAAAACATTTTCAAAAACCTGTTTTCAAAATGCTTACTTCAAAAGATTTTCT